ATGGCCAGTGGGCTTGTGCAAAAATGCCATGATTACAAAAGTGCTGCTATTATAAATTTGCCGCCCCTGCAATTTGCCACCCTAGGCAATAATATGCCATTGTCTCTATACCATTATCTAAATCAGGGATCAGCAACCTTTGGCATGTGGCCCACCAGGGGAAGCCCCCTGGTGGGCCGGTTTGTTTACCTGCTGCGTCTGCAGGTTTGGCTGATCATGGCTCCCACTGGTTGCGGTTCGCCGCCGCAGGCCAATGGGGACTGCGGGAAATGGCGTGGGCCGAGGGATGTGCTAGCCGCGGCTTCCCGCAACCCCCATTGGCCTGGAGCAGCGGACCGCCGCCAGTGGGAGCTGCGATCGGCCGAACCTGTAGACGTGGCAGGTAAACAAAGTGGCCCAACCCGCCAGGGGGTTACCCTGGCGGGCCGCTGGCCAAAGGTTGCTGATCCCTGATCTAAATCAATGAGGATATTGAACAGAACCGATCCCTGTGGGACTCCACTTGTTATGCCTTTCCAGCATGAAGTACTTTTCTCAAGAAGCAGAAAAGCTTTCCTCAAATTACATGGGTCAAGAGGAAATGTTTTCAGTAAGCCATGAAAAGGCTGCCAAATATTGACTGAGTTGGTCCATAAAACAGTCCTTGTTTCTCTGCTCCCTTAGTTGTGAACAGATGCCTTAATACTTGAGTTTTTCTCTTTCAAAAACCATGGCAACAGAATCTCAGGAAAGTTTTATATAGGTGGTTCAGGTTCCAAGAAAGCGTATTCTCCACTTGACTAGAGGTGGTGGGAGTTATGTCTGTTGATTCACAAGATTATTCTGGATTTACTTGCACCATACATTAAGCTTCTCTTAAACAATGTCATTTTTGTCCCCTCTTTGGTTTGGTTTTTGGAAACACAGATGCTCTTCCGTACTTAAATATTAAAGATGGCTGTGTTATAAGCTTCTCGTTTTTGCATTTATAATTTTAAGAGGTTCAGAAATTTGGTCTCAGCCTTCCAGAGAAGTATTTTTCTTATAAAAAATGTTTTTAAAAGTTACTTGCCATTTTTGAGTTGAGTTCCAAAAGAGTTATGACTTTTAATTAGCTTGTCAATTCTTCAGGACATGGGACTATTTCTACCCATGTCTATACGGTGGGCCCTCAAACCTGATTGTAGTGTTATAGCCCTCAAATTTTCAAATGAATATTTCTAAATGTACTCTTTAGAATGGATTCAAATATTACTTAACACTCTTAAAGAGAAAGCTCTTTGCAATCTAATCACTTGGGTTTTTTTCTACATGATTTTTAAGTGCTGATGATGTGACCTATTGGTCACTATCCTCTCTCCAATAGTTACATCATAGGCAGCAGCAATATGGAGTTCTCTACATAGTCCTGAACCTTATGGTGAGGGTAGTTCAATCCTCCTACCTTTGACTCCTCTGAGGCTTTCTGTGATGGGGTTGATTGTCTACTGGGCTCTGAACTGTGATCAGTAGCTTCCTTAATACAAGATATCATAAGGTCGTAAATGGCAGCTTCTCAAGATTACTTCTGACCTTTATCAAACCAAGTGCTTAAGATAATGAAAAGCTTTATAAGCCAATCCTTGTTGACTTTAAAGAGTAGTTATATTGACTCTGCAACTCGCTTTAGTAAAGCAGGCAGGCTTTGGTGATATAACCCATTACTAGTCCCATCAGTTAATTCTTCATTAGACAAGTTAATTAAAAATGTTGAAATATTTTCATTTGCATACAGATTGATTGTACACCCTTAAGGCCTGTGTCAGGGAAGTTCACACTTACTCTATTATGTGACATTAATGAAGATTCACAGCACCTTGTTTGACCTGATTTGCTCCCAGTATGGTTTAGTGCCAAAAAAAGGTCTGTGTAGTTTTGTAATATTAATTATATATTCTGTAAATACAACTGAAAAATAAAGTTATTTCAACCACAAAGAAATTTTAAACACAGTTTTTGGTAGAATAATAACAAATATTAGATGGTTTGCTTAAGTGTTCTGATGTTTCAAATCATTTTTCTACATTGCTTGCTGCTGCTGCTGGATGTAGTTACAATATTTATAAACATGCTCTCAATAAGTTGTAGGATTTTTAAATATTTTTTGCACCTGAAATCATGTGATGTAGAAAGGAGAGAGGATACAGCGTAGTATTGACACATCAGGAAAATGTTTGGCGATTTTTAAAGATGTGTTGATATAAAAAGAGCAAGCCAGATTGTCCGGCTATGCTAGAAGAAGGACAGGGAGGCTGGATGTGGTTTTAATTAGGCTGCAACTTTATTCTTAAAATATCTGGGAGTACCTGGCAGACAAAATTGTACAGTGCTGGTAATTCCGTGATGATTTCCCTAGACTTCTTTCTGTTCCATTCTGGTTCCAGTCATCCTGATGATGGGACCCTACCAACCCCTCATGATGGCTAAGAGCACCAAGAAGAGGGGAAGGTTTGACTCTGTCTGGATGAGGAACTGCCAACTACCCTTGACTACATATGAACGTAGCCACCTCCTTGTTAACATACGTCCTACCCTTGTTGACCTGAGGGGCTTCAAGGATCCCCACCATACTGTGTTGCAACATGTCAGACCAAATAATTCAGACTCCAGGGAAAAGTTCTAGCCATCTTCCCCAAGTCCTTCTTGGCTTTGAGCATCAAGTCTACCCCTTTGCACATTCCCAAATTGTTGTCCCCAAGATGAACCACAGTCACATCCAGTGCCTGCTTGTGGGCCACCACAGAGTATAAAACGGGCATCAGCTGGTCCCATAGCGTGCCCATCCTACCAGCCAGCTTGGGATTGCTTTGTCACTGAGGCTCATCTGTGAACCTCCAGGCAACCCGGAAATCTGCCTATGTGCCCAGTAGACAATACTGTGCCCGCAGATCCACACCACCATTTACTTAGCCTGTCTGTGGGTGTCTGAGAGGAAACGTGAGAAAATTACACCTGATTCCCAACCTGCGGTCTCATGTCCATTAGAGAGCCAGTGCCCAATTGCTTGAACTGCCCCAGACCCAGCTGTGTTGCTGCCCTGATCCAGAACGAGTGAGAACCAAATTCATAGAGGACTGGAAGCCCCAACCTCATCAGCCCCTGTCTGAAAATTGTAACAAACTGATATGTGCTTAGTAGACTTGTGTCTCCATGAATAAAGAGGGGCCCTTCCTTAACTGGTCTTATTTCGTAAATGTCGTCACAGGGCAGATCCTGACTGTGCTGCCTTCTTGAAGCATAATGTATTTACCCCAACCTCCCTGGTCTGTCTTTGACAGCCTCGAGGCTCAATCCGTCAACTCCAGAGCCCTTCCTGAAGTATCCATCTGTAGCCCAGCCACTAGTTCGCTGATCCTAAAAACCCCAAATATGCTTTAAGGAATGCAGCCCTGAACAAGGCCACCTCTTGTCCACAAAGACGTGCTCAAGAATTTGCACCAAATCCCTAAGCATATTAACGGTGATGGGACGATGTGCATCACCTGTAAGGGCTATGCTTTGTGATTGACCCATTATACACCTCCAAACTAAAAACCCACTGCAAGGATCAGGGTGACCATGAGGCCTACTGACAACTGTAAGAACCAATAAGCAACTGGAGATGGCTGATGATGGCAGTCTCTGTGTTGCCAATGGCCCTGTATATTGAAACACCTGGTCTTCTGGAATCAGCCACATCATGGACAGGCCCACCCTCTTCTGAAATTGCACAAAATTGTTAAAACTTCTCTCGTGGTTCTTAAATGTTCATGATGCCACCAATCTCTGCACTATACTGAATGGCATCAGATATCAAGGTTCCGGAGTGCTAGCAGCGTCCGTTCAGTTCTATTGCATCATTAACTAAGCTGCCCTGTGGGTATGGCAGGCTATCAAGTGATACTCATCCGGGGCTTTCTTAGGGACCAAGCCCAGGGGAGACACCCACAAGTTCTTTATAGGTAAATGATTGAATGGCCCTGCTGTTCTGCTAGCCTTCAGTTCTTGTGCAATCTTTTTCTTTACGACATGACCTAACCCCGCTAAGGATTTCAGATTTTTGGACATGACATTATTTCTTTCCCCTGTATAGGGGATTCTGAACCCTGAAGTAAACCCTTCCCAATAAATATGTCCTGTCTGTCTTGTTAGGTTAATTCCAAAGGCGAACTCATAAAACCCCAAGCTTAACCAGAGATGGGGCTTTTGGCGAGCCCCCCCCCCTTTCAGCTTGCTCCCCCCTCTCTGCACCTTGAATCCCAGACCCTGTTTCTGTACCTGGGGGCCTGTGGGAGGGACATGATTTACCACCTTCTGCAATCTGTCACCATACTAGGGTCTTCCCCAACCACTGACAGCACGCACATTGCTAATGTGACTTATAGCACATTTTGCAAGCATGTTAACATTTTCAGATACTCCAAAAACACCCACCTTTGTTCAATGCCCAGCAAATGTAATTACGTGTTTCCGGCTTCTGCCAGGGTTGCTGAGGAATGAACAGACCGCTTTCAGTGTGAACACTAACCACAGCATATGATGCAGTGTGTCCCATCTAATCCTACTTTGCGTTGCAGCCTTCAGCCTAAACAGTTCATTGTAATTAAATCATTATATTATATGCCTAAATGATTATATCCATATATTTGAATAAAGCTGGGATTCTGCCTCTGCAACAACACCTGCATAAATCAAAAAAGAAGCTTCCCAATTTTCCCATGATCTAGCAAACCTTGACCTCTTGGTGTCATTACCTGCCCTGCTTGCTTTTTGTCACTACCTTCCTATGTAGCAAGAAAATAATAGGTTGGCTTTAAAGCTGTGTTGATACGAAAAGAACCCATATAAGTAATGGGTTAACTGTTTAAATAGGCAAGTTACTGGAAAATTACTGTAATTGGTGAAATCTTAAAAGCTAAATACTTGCTAATTAATGATTATAAAGATACTTCAAAGCAATTTCCAAAATATATTAATGCTTCTTTGTTTCCTGTTTCTTCTAGTCCCTTGATGATTTAAACAAATGGACTCTACTTCTCATATCTCCTTTTATTTATTCTGATAAAATACTTGATGCAGAACATATAGCATTTGTGACTGAAAGTGTTTCTGCCCAGGCAGATGATTTACAGACTATATCTAGTTCCTCAAAAAAGGTGAGTAGTTCTGTTCATTTTTTAAACAAAGTTGTTCTGACAAAGTGTGTTTAAACTATTTAATATATTTTGAAATTTAAAAAAGTTTTATCACATGATATAGGTGGATATAGAAATTGTGCAATAAGGAACAAAATATAACTTCCATCCAGATGATCATACCTACCCTTATTCATTGGATTTATAGCCCACCACTACTGTGTCTATGTCTGGAGCAGCACTGTATTATATTTCAGGATAAAAATCAGAGGCATTTTACTAAGACCTTCATTTCTCAGCAATGCTCTTAAATAGGCTTGTGGATGGTAATTGTAAAAGCAATAGTTTTAAAATAGGAAGAGAGAGAGTAGGTAACAAACAGCCTGATAAAGCTGGCCATCTGGTTATTGTGTTCTGTTAAATTGTAAGGGAGCTAAACACTTAAATACTAAATTTTGGGAGAAATTTGTTCCCCTCCAGGTATGGTGAAGCCATGTAACATGAATGGTAGCACCCCACTTGCACTTCATTGGTGGTGCCTTCTGGTTCGTGTGCCCTCTGTCAGTTCTATTAGGAAAGAAAGATGGTGTTATGATTAAAGCACAGGACTAGGAATCAGGAGATTTGAAATTTTGTTCTGGACTGCCAGACTTCCAGCATGACCTTGGGCAAGTCAGTTAAGGCTTGATTTTCAGATGTGCTGAGCAGCTACAATGCTAGTTGTAGTAAATGAACTACATACAGTGCTTGGAAACTCTTAAAGACCCCTATTCATTAAGATACTTAAGCACGTGCCACACTTTGAGCCTGTGAGTAGTCCCATTGAAAATGCTGAGTTTAGGCCAAAATCAGGCTCTTAATCTGTCCCTCAATTTATCTTTCTGTAAAATAGGGGTAATACTTCACTCAATCAGTCAATTTTATTAGCGTGCATATGACATATATTTTGTGAATACAAACAGAGAAACATACACAATCTAAAACAACTGCAACACCCATATAATACTTTAAATTGTCAATCAGAACCTAATTAAAACACACTCTCTTCTTCAGCACAATGCTAAAAGGACAAAAATTGCCACTGATTAAATTACTACCAAGGACTGAGAAAATACTAAAAACATTCTTTTTGAGATGGTGATAAAGATTATTTTTTGTACCAGAGAGGTAAAATCTAGCCTGCTCTCAGAAGCTGGAGAATTCTACAGTCCAAAAGATGAGGTAGATTTTCCAGCACTCCAGATTTATATGGCTAAAAACAAAGATGTGAAGGAACTTTTCCATATCTACGTTTTATTGAAACAATTTCTAGTGCTGAAATTTGGCCTCTGAACCAAACTTTGGCCCCATAAAAGCTCTGCGATATTGCTTTAGCATTAAAAATTCTTAGCACTGGGGCTGTTCTGTTCCCACCGTATGAGTGTGTAAAACAGAGCACACCTTGAGCAGAGCTAAGGATCTTTTGTTTAAGCCTTTATGATAAGGGGACCAACAGCCTGAATGATGAAACTTTATTCCTAAATAAGTAAAAGAAAAGACTTGTTCTGCAAGGTGATTTTCTGTCTTCAGCCCAATATGTGGAGGGATAATCCAAAAAATCATGACCTTGGCCTTCTTATAATTGAGAACCATATATTGAGAATTACAATAAGAAGAAAAATGAGGTAACAGTTGGAGGCCTCTTAAAGTTTGCAATAAAACAGCCTTGTCATTAGTATATAACGCTGGGATACCCTTTATTTGCAGTGGAGAAAAATTATCTTCCGTTAAAACATACATCACATTGTGAATATATACATTTGAAAAGAAGAGGTGCTAGAAGGCATCCTTGACTTACTCCCTGAGAAGCAGGGAAAACATTAATGTATTTAATGTTGACTTTAGTTCTTACCCTAGCTATATTGCCTTCCTGTAGATTCTCCAAAATATACTGAAGTTTTAGATCGATACCCATCTATCACAGGTATCTGGTCTTTGTGAATAGACTGGATCAGTTGAGCCCAATCTAGCTAATTAAAGAGGGCTGGGCTATACCTGGGTCTATAAAGGGCTACTAATAGGCAGCTGGAAGGGGAGAGGCCTGAGACAGGCTGAGCCCTGTGAGGGAAAGCCACAGTGGAGTGGAGCTAGCTCCTGTGATAAGTCCCTGGAGCAATGGGCCAGGAGCTCAGGGAAGCAGCCCTCTGGCTTCTGTTCCAGGAAGGAAGCAGAGCTGACTGACACTGGGAGACTGCCAGGAGCTGGCATGCCAGAGATCCCTGGCGGGGTATCCCTGAAGCCTGGGGCCAAGGCCTGAGTTAAGACTATTTTCTGTTTGTTTGATAACCTGTATTTAAGAAATAAACCTCCTTGAAAAGACTGGTCATGGCAGTGCATGCTTTGGAACTTGGAGAAGTGAACAGCCAGGTGACATGATCATTCTTAATTTCACCCAAAGATTATCTTGGTTAATAGAATCAAATGCCATCTTTAGATCTATGAAAGTGGCAAGTTAGTACTCTCAACCACAGTATAGTTATAAATAATATATACTAGAATAAAACAGTTATCAATTCTGGCTCTACCAGTCCTGAAGTTGGACTGTTCTTCATGTAGTAAACAAGCCTCTAAAGCCCATATTTTCATTTTTGGATAGTAAATATCTAGACTAAATTTTCCCTGCCACATCTAACAGATCGATAGGTATATGAAGCGGAAATCTTTCTGTTCCCTTGTTTTAAAAATAGGAACTATGATACTAAACTTCCAGCCAGCCTGAATCCTTCTAGTGTGATTAATGACTGTCAATAATTTAGTTGAGACCGAAGACCACCAAGCAGGAGTCTGCTGAAGGACTTCAGTGGGGAGAAGATCTTCCTCTGAAGCTGTTTTCTGTCATTGGGCTAAAATAAAAGACATCGGTGTCTGCTATTGAAGGCCAGAGTAGTAAATCAGAGAGAGGATTCCTCCTTTCATCTACTATAGTAGAATTAGGTTTAAAAAAAAAAAAAAAACTGGTTGAGGGGCGTCATTAAAGACCTGGCCAAAATGTGCTGTTCAGGCTTTATCATTAATATGGGTTCCTCAAACAATCTCTAAGACAAATGCCTACCCACTGCAAGACCACACACAACTGAGGGAAGGGTGGAGTAGAGCTTTGTCTTCAAATCGGGGCCATCCTGCTATTCTCAAAAAAGTGGGAGAGAGGACTCCTTCCTCACTCCATCTCGTCTGCCACTAAGCGATCACTGCTGTGATATTGCAGCTGTCTACAAAGGGGAGAGGGTGAGCTCCTCTCCAAATTCATCAGTGCCAACCACTCTCAACTTCAAAGTTCTGTTTAAACTTCATGAACTCCCACTAGGAAAGAGAGACTCCATACCAATCACACCTCACTCCAACATAGATGATATTACTACCTGCAGAGCTCCCAGGGAGGGAGACTCCTCCCTAAAACTCTTTTCTCCACAGTCTTCACCTCCTCCAGTAAATTCAAACTCCAAGGTTCACTACTTTTGCCATTCCAACTCTCCAGACTCTCCAAGGTTACAGAGCATTATTACTACATTAAGGAAGCTTCTGCTTATTCACTCAGAGCAGCACAGATTCCCAGAAGCTTCTCCACTACTTCCTGCCTGTGTGGTCTGGGCCCCTCAGATGCTGCTCTCAGTTTACCCCTATGGGCAGCTCCTCCTTCCTGGCGGTGAGCTCATCAGTAATGAGTGGGTTCACTTCACTTCCCATCCTCCTAACTAGTGGCTTCTGAGCCTCAATCAACCCCAGGGTCTGGTGCACACCTTCCCTTACTTGGTAGTTTAAGGAAGGCTACCACACACCAGGGCTCCTGTCTCCAGTCAGGCTTCTGCCCTAATGCCCTTTGTAAGATAGATGAGTAAAGTATTGAAGCTAAATTTGTAATGTTTATAAAGTGCTTTGAGGTCCTCCAGGGATAAAATACACTAAAATATAAAGTAGAAGTATTAGAAATGTGACAGGGACAATATCCTGTGATAAAGACAAACCTTATGGAATTAAGATAAACTTTATTGAATTAGGTTAAATATCTTTGGGGTCCATTGTGTGAAAAATGCAGTTGTGTATGTGTTATTTTAGAGTTTTATGTAACTCTTTTAGGGGGAGGGGAATGCTAATATAATTCCGCTGGTTATCAGCCCTTTGAAGCCAAACCCTGGGGAGATTTGCATATACTAGATCAAACTGGATTCTACAGGGACCAACAGACAAAAGCCAGATTTTTGGATAAATAGCCTGGTTTTATACAAGTTCAGGACCTTCTTCCTGATCCAGCAAACAGACAGGACCCCTGGTTTGTGGAGGGCCTCCCTCTTTAGGGAAGGGTTTGGAAAGAATGGACCTACTGAGGCCCCCTAAGACTCTGTGCTAGTGTTGAGCTTAAGCTGTGATGAACTTGAAAACACAAGGAAACCCCTTGGGTAGGGGTTTGAAGGACTGCTCCTGCCAGAGCCCATGTTAGGGTTGGAGTGAACTCTGGTAAACTTATTAACATGTATGTAGGGTCTCTTTCTGCCTTGAAGATGTTTTCTCTGTAGTGCTTTTATCTTAAGAATAAAAGAGGCTTGAAACTGTGGGTCTTTTGTGTGTTAGAATTTTTCTCCCTTTGATAGGAGATTTTTCAAAAGTTTATAAAATGACTTGCTGACTAATTTAATCCACGTGGCTTACTTTTTGCTGCTTGCCCCTGAATCCGTTATGTAATTTTTGTATTTGAAAGGCCATGTCAGTGGTGTATTTAAGTGTTAGAGCAAGTGAAGAGCTTCAGCTGTAGAATACAGTGCTTTCCATGCTGCTTACTCTAGGAAGTCCTTTTGTGTGTGCTACCCAGGATTTCCGAAGCTTTGATCTCTGGGAAAGAAGTATTTGTTCCACTCTTCTTTCTTCTCAGAACTGTTTAGAAGTGCTCTTGTTTACCTTTGTCAAGACTGAATGGAAGTTAGGTAACACCTGATACTTCGTACAAGACGTGACCCTTCTTTGATAAGGTTGTTTTGGATGTACTTTTGAGCTTATGTACTGACATTCTTAGCCACAGAGGATGCACTATGTGCAGAAATGTCAGTTGGAATTGGGAACTCTATCTGTGTTTATTCCAGGGTAAAATTAATTGCAGTGGTTACTTTTTTTTTTTTTTTTTTTTATTTAGAGACAACATGGTTTTAAGGAAACTGGTTTTGAAAATGATATATTCAGTGATCTCCCTTGGGATACAGAATTTTTTTTTAAAGATCAGTCCTTTTTGAACTGATGTTTGTCACAGAGTGTTTGAATTGTGCTAACTTTATTATTTATGTTTAAGTTAATATTCTCTGTTTCTGCAACAGAGAATATTTTAGACTGTCTCTTTTTAGACTATAAACTCTTCAGGGTAGAAATATCACCTTTGTTTAGTAACGCATGTTCATGGAATTGTATTTTTTTAATTGACCTCTTCTTTAGAATGGGAAAATATGTTTTTTATCTTCTTAGGTTATAAAGTGGTCAGACTGTTGTTCACCTTTGGCCTATAAACCCGGAGAACCTTATAAATTAATTGCTGAAGCAAGTGTGGATAACTTCAGTAACCTTGGAATAGCATTCATGGAAGACAGACTTCAAATGGATAATGGAATGGTGCCACGAAAGATTGTTTGTAAGTATCTTCACAGAACACTTCAGTTTTAGTGAAGTATCTTATTGTTTCACTTATTCTAAGTCTCCTAATGAGTTAAGTGCATCTAAACACAAAAATATATGCTTTTACTTTGGCATAGGAATAATTGTTACACTGTCATCAGAGGCAGTCTCATTTTAAAGGGCAGCTGTATTTTAAATTTAATGCCAAATATAAAGAATGTTTAAAAATGTATTTAGACTGCTGTTTCTGAGGTTTTTTTTTTTTGCATTTGTAATATGTGTTGTCAGAATGACAGTTGAAAAAGTAATTGAATATCTTTGAAACTGTATGTAAATGTTTTTCTTATTCTAGTTATTACTGCTTCATAAACAAACCAATAGTTAATGCCACCATTGACTGCAAAAATTTAAGCTTATTAAGGTAAAGTCCCAGAGTATCCCAGGTATTACTATATAACTCTCTAGAAAGGTTAGTATAAACAGCACAAAGATAAGGAGTACTTGTGGCACCTTAGAGACTAACAAATGTATTTGAGCATAAGCTTTCGTGAAACCTATCACAAAGATAGTAACTTTTCTTCCTCTTTTTCCCTTGTTCTTCCCATTTCGTCTGCTCAGAAATACATTTACTTTCTTTGCACTTCCACTTTTTTTTTTTTAATTTAAACCAACTTCTGTTGCTTTTTTTATTCCTGCTTTCTGGGTCCTGACCTCTCTTCCAGCCCAAGACATTTGGGCTATGCTGCTCCTCCTGCAGACCAGTGGCAGTTCAGATTTTTCTATCCCCTTTTTCCCTTGTCAGTTTTTTTTTTTTTGCCTCCATCGGCATAAAGAAAGGTGTGGTTCAGTGCTTCCATCTTATCCAATATAATCCTAGGTTTTGTCGGTCAGTTTTGAACAGCAGTGAGCAATGTCTCTGTCCCTTTTCTCCCTCAGGGGACTGATATTTTTCTAGTGGTACTTTTCTCATTTTTCACCTTCCCCCAATCATGGTGTAACAGCTGAAAAGATTATGCATCTGGGAGGAGACTCACTCAGGAGTAGCAGAAGAGATACCATGCTAGAGCTGCTCTCAACCTGTTTTGTTAGGAAGCCTTGTTTTCTCAGGAAAAGGGGTCCAAAGCCTGGATGGCTTGCTGAAACCTTCACATACCCTCATATGGAATTGAAATCCTGAGTACCCACAGTTAACGCTGACTTTTGTGGAAGTTATGGTGGTTTGTTCTCTCTGAAAACCGCATCTTAAGTGTTTCAAGTTAGGCACCAAAAATCTAAGGTTTTTGAAACTAGCATACGCTTGTGAAAATTTGTCCTGTATGAATTATCAAAAGTTACAATAAACCACTGACAGAGCTGGGAACAGAATATTTGACTCCTGATTGTGGTAAGAACATAAGAATGGCCTTACTGAGTCAGACCAGTGGTCCATTTAGCTCAATATCCTGTCTTCCAACAATGGCCAGACACATCAGAAGGAATAAACAGAACAGGGCAATTTATCAAGTGATCTATCCTCTGTTGTCCAGTCCTAGCTTCTGTCAGTTGGAGGTTTAGGGACACTCAAAGTATGCGGTTATGTTCCTGACTGTCTTGGCTAATAGGTCCATTGGTGGACCTATCTTCCATGAACTTACCTAATTCTTTTTTAAACTCAGTTATACTTTTGGCCTTCACAACATCCCCTGGCAATGAGTTCCCCAGGTTGACTGTATGTTGTTTCAAGAAATAGTCCCTGATGTTTGTTTTAAACCTCTGCCTATTAATTATTTCAGGTTCTCGTGTTATGTGAACATGTGAATAACAGTTCCCTATTCACTTTCTCCACACCATTCATGATTTTATAGACCTCTATCGTATCCCCCCTTAGTTGTCTCTTTTCTAAACTGAACAGTTCCAGTTTTTTAAATCTCTCCTCATATGAAACCTGTTTCATATGCCTAATCATTTTAGTTGCTCTTCTCTGCACCTTTTCCAGTTCTAATATATCTTTTTTGAGATGGTGTGACCAGAACTGCACACAGTAATCAAGGTGTGGGCATACCAAGGACTTTTATAGAGGCATTATGATATTTTCTGTCTGTTTATATATCACTTTCCTAATGGTTCCTAACCATTAGTCTTTTTTGGCTGCCACCTGCACATTGAGCAGATGTAGATAGTTCTCTGAAAACTATAATTCCAAGACCTTTTTTGAGTGGTAAAAGCTAATATAGACTCCATCATTTTGTATGCATAGTTGGCATTGTGTTTTCCAGCATGCATTACTTTGTATTTATCAACATTGAATTTCATCTGTCATTTTTTTGCAGTCATCTAGTTTTGTGAGATCCTGTGACAAAATACACTCTGCTGTAATTACCTTAACAAGGCATACTTTATACAAAGAGATCATTTGAAAACTCATCATTTTCTGTTCATTATTGCCCTGGTAAAATGTGTGGCAACATTGTATGTGAACTTATAAGATTTCCCTATATGGTGGTGGTAATACATGTTCCAAACCCCAGTGCCCTGCCCGAACAGAATTTGGCAAACGTGTCTTTCCTAAACATAGGAATATGTGCTCTTCTTAATTTTGCATTTAGAAGTAAACCGTGTTATCAGGCAGGAAAGCAAAATAAAGGAAGTTCAAACAGGTGAAAAAGCCAGCAGGGAATATCCTTCCACACAGACTCTTTGGCTCCAGGTTCTTAGCTGGAATTGTTTCTCAAGTGAGGGACTGAAATTATAAAAGGAAGGTACAAACATCCCAAGGTACACCCCCCCCCCCCGCCATCGCATTTGCTGTACCTGAAGAGACAAAGGAACAGCGGTTGGACTCTGAGGAAGAGGTCCTCACCTGAGAGTTTGGTCAGTAATCTGCTGGAGCATGTGGTGAAAAAATTTTGTTTTGGAAGTAAGAGAGTTTCTTAAGTAGATACCAGTAAGCATTTTACGCCTCATTGCTTGTTGTTAATAAACTGGTTTTATTGCTTTATCTAATCCAGTTTGTTTAGATTAAAGTATCTGGGTAACTCCATGTGAGGTAACAAGTTGTGTGTATGTTAGTCCCTTAAGGGAATAATGGACTCAATACATTTGCCCTGTCCAGGAGGGGGCTGGGCGGCACAGGACATACATTTCTGCGGGAAAATCTGAGGCTGGGAGTGTGTGGTGGTCACCTGTTGGTAAACTTTAAGGCTGGTAAGAACCAAGATCTGGTTGGCTGCAGCACCCACTGACCTAGCTGGGAGTGCCTACATGCTGAAGGCTGTTTGTGAGCAGCAAACCATAATAAAGGGCACCACAGGTTACAGGGCAGGGGTGACACAGCTACTCATTAGTCTGGATTGTACCATGGTGTGTCACAGATCCCTGTGTACCTCTTTGCTTTCAGCTTAACAATTTTGAGTAATTTTGTATTGTCTGCAAACTTTGTCACCTTATTTTTTTACTCCCTTTTCCAGATCATTTATGAATATGTTGAACAGTTCAGTTCCCAGTACAGATCCTCAGGCACCCTGCTGTTTACGTGTCTCCACTGCAAAAACTGACTGTTTGTTCCTATCTTTTTTGTTTTCTATCCTTTAACCAGTTAGGGGTCCATGAGAGGATCTTTCCTCTCCTCCCATGACTGCCTACTTTGCTTAAGAGCCATAAGTGGTCTCTAACTGCCAGATAACGTTCTCCTAGGGATTTACAAAATAGACTTACTCTTTATGTTTCAGGAGAAGTAGGGCCTTAGTGTCTAAAAGGAGGCAACTTTTTAGGAGTGTAAGTCTGTGTTTCTCAACCTCTTCAGACCACTGTGCCCCTTTCAGGAGGCTGATTTGTCTTGTGTCCCCCCACATTTCACCTCACTTAAAAACTTTGCATAGAGAATCAGACATCAAAATACAAAAGTGTCACAGCAAACTGTTACTGAAAAATTGCTTACTTTCTCATTTTTACCATACAGTTATAAAATACATCAACTGGAATATAAATATTGTATTTACATTTCAGTGTGTAATATATAGAGCAGTATAAACACATCATTGTCTGTATGAAATTTTAGCTTGTACTGAGTTTTAGTGCTTTTTATGTAGCCTATTGTAAAACCAGTCAAATATCTAGATGAGTTGATGTACCCCAGAGGTATGCATACCCCTGGTTGAGAACGACTAGTGTAAGTGATTTATCAGGAAACTAAATCTAACGCCAAATTACATACTAGGGGTAGTGACATTCAACATTGCTATTTTTGTACAGCTTTTAACTTGTTTCTTTTGAAATCTCTCAGCTATCCATTTACAGGAATCTGCTCTAAAGGAGCTCAAGCGGATGGCTGCACCTACAGAAGAGAAGAATAGCACTAATAGCATACACATGGATGAAATGACCCCTGCTCCTCCATTTGCAGCTGCAACTAAACAAGGATCAACGTCAACTGATTCTACAGGAGGTGGTGACCAGGAGGTGAGAGAAGAGAAATCCAGGCTGGAGAAAAGAAGTGAGTCTCATAATGAGCCTAATAACCTATGTGAAAGGGAGACAAGTACTGGTAAACATCACCACCTGCACCTTTCCAGCTGCCATGAATGCTTTGAACTTGAAAACAGCACCATTGAGTCAGTCAGATATGCTTCATCAGAAAACATTCCAGAACTTCCTGATGATTGCAGTGCTAGCGTGGAAGAAGTTACTGATGGCTGTCTGGCAAGAGAACTAAGAAGGATAAACCTCACTGGGAAGACTCCCAATGTTTTAATTTATGTGGGCTCTGACCCTATGAAAATCAAATTTGAGAAGATAAAATCAGTGCTCAAGGAGTGCATTCATACAGACAGCTACACCATCTACCAGCTGGTAGAGGAACAAGTTCTGAAAGCTCCCTGGCTTGATAACTCATTGTTGTTGGTTATTGCCACAGAGGAACCCATTTCTAAGGACAATCACAAACGGTTCCTGACCTACTTGTCAAGAGGTGGGAAGATTTTAGGACTTTCTGCCTCTTTTACATTTGGCAGTATACAGATAAGGAGCAAAAGTGAACTGAAGAAGACCATCCAAGAATTAGTGTTCTATAAAGCAGATAACAGTGAAGTTAAATTAAACCTTCTGACCAGTGGCAGTGTTTTTGAGCAAGAGGCTAAAGAAAATCACAGCCAAGTGAAGTCGTTGAGTCACTTAAGTAATACAGATAAAGATATGATCATTGTTCACCTGCCATATGGAGATTGTGGAGGAGAAGCCATTCTGTGTCAGGTACTGTGTGTAAGAAGACTTAAGTTGTTTATTGCATTGTATAACATGCTTATTATGGTGTGCTCCTAGATTTCAACTGACCTCCATTATAAGTTCATTTTTGATGCCTCTCTGAAGTCCACAGACAGGAATACCTGCCTCAAATTTGGTAGGCTAGGCAAAGGACTGAGGCAGAGTTTTTTACCTAGTTTGAAGTTATTTGTACACAGGATTCCTGAATTATGGGACTCGGGTCATTAGAGTAGGAAAATAACCTTTTGTCCATTTGTAGCAAAATAGAAGGAGGGAAATAAAAAATGTAGTTTATTGGGCTTACCTTGTTGAGTTCTGGTGCAGAGAACCAAATGAAACAGAAATACAAGAATATAAACCTTAGAAATGGGCAACCTTTACCCTTATTTTAATTATAGGACAGATGTTTTTTTTGGGACTCAAGACTTAAGTGTAGATGTTTATTCTTCTGGTAATATGAGTAATCTTGCAATTACTCCAGAAAACTTCATCAGGGCTTCTCCAAGGTGCTTTCCCCTCACCAGGGCTCTACAGGATGAAGAGATGACAAGTTTCCTTTGAACTCACTGAGCCAAAGGCAAATCCCAACATTCCTTGTTTACAGTAGCTGTCAGATTCGCCCTTAGCAGTTTTTAATCAGTCACCTTCCCATATGTCTATTGTCATAACTTTCCCACCTAAATGTATGGAAAAGGGCATTTTGGGACATTTCTAGTGTCTTAGGTATGCAATGATCAGCTTTACTGCATGTCTCCCAGTATTAAAATATCCTTTTTAAAGCTGTACACGTTTGCCAGTATTACTCCTGAGTGTCACTGCCAAAAGACTATGGCATCTTGGGAAAACCAGGTTATGTAGATCAAATGTTACAGTTTTGTATAACAATTTCTGTCACCCATGTGTTGGGTACTTGAAGTAGAAAATTGATTAGGTACTGTTACTATCCATTTCTTTAAGTTGCATGGTAAAACCTGTTTTGTTGTAGCATTTAAATGACCCCTCTCCTCTAATAAAATTTAATACTGCAGTGAGTTTCCTGAGAAAAAGGGCAATGTGGGGTAGCTTCGGAAATCCGATTAAAAGGATTAGAATATCATTTATGATTTTTACTTGAGTTCCAGTCTGCATCTGAAAAGGTGTATTGTTGTTCTCTTCATGGCTATATTGATAAGAGTATTGACAGTGACATCAACCAATAAATATTCAGAGTCACAGGGTAGTTATTTCCCTCTTCTGCACTGGTCTAGTTTCATAACATTACCTCTTTAATTCAATAAATTTATTTGGCTGAATGATAGAAAAGTGGATAATGCATACTATAGATAGAGAAAATAAAAAGTGCAAAAATGTATGCAAGCACAGTATAAGTAATTTTTATGCCACTTTCATTTAAATGTATTTGCATATAGTAGAATAAAGCAAATGTACATTTTGTATTCTACTAAATGTATTAAACATCTTGGAACTTCTGTGAGATACAATATATAATTTTAGGAGGGCTAGGCTGGACTCTGCATTTCAGCTCTGCTTCTTAAGGCTTGTACACATGGAGAGTTAGTGTGCAGGAAGGTAGGATATGAATGTACAACACTCTAGTTTGCCACGTACTAAATCTCTGTGGATCCTGCTACCGTGCACTAAAAGTTTTGTGATTAGCTTTCATTTATTGGTCTTTGAAGTACTGCTAAATAGTATTTCCAAAGTGCACAATAGAACTTTTACCGTGTGGTAGCAGGGTCCACATGGCCAGTTAGTGAGCAGCACGCTGGAGTGCTGTATATTTGCAGCTTGGCTTGCCGATTTGTGTAGACAAGCCCCCAAAGTTCACCTCTAGTTTGAAAAGTGATTCTGTATAAAATGGCATTGTAGGTTTCTGAGTCAGTGTTCCAGATATAATCAGTGCAGTTCAAAAATAAAAAGATGTTTTTCTAATTTCAGTCCTGTGATTCAACTTGGAATTAGTCAGGCTGGGTTCTTTCTACCTTGTTCATCTCTACCAACAAAAATTCTGCAATCAGAACTGAATTCTACTGGCTCATGAGCCAGAGTGGAATCCAGAGCAGCTTCATTTATATAGTGCTAACAGAAGAAAACAAGTAGCAAAAACTTCTTTTAGTCAGTAAGTAGATATGGACTCCAAATACATGCGGGAGACAGACCAACTGATTAAGAAAGGGGCATTTTTACACACTTTTAAGAGAAGAACTGTAGTTTACCAATAGCTCTAGTCTCCTCCTTGGAAGTTAAGGATTCATTGGTCTCTACTAGTATTTGCTACACCTTGGATATATATCTGTTTGACAGGCTTTTAAGATGTCAAAGCCCTATTCATTAATATGTCTTGTTTCTTCATCGTATAAAATATAACCTTATTTCTAACACACAAGTCACACTGAATTTTACATGGCTCTTGTACTAAATTCAGCTAGTAGTAAGTGAATAGATACCACACCATTTTTAGGTCTGCTTTGCTTTTCTCTACCTCAGCTGCTGTCTTTCGTGTTAGTGACTTCTTTCTTTTTCTTTTCCCATCTCCCCAGATATACTTGGAAATGGATATTGCCTCTCTGACTACCCAAACCCAAGAAGATTTTAATTTACTCAAAATGAGCAATGCCAAGAGATATGAAGTTCTTAAGGAGATCCTGACCTTACTTGGCCTGAGTTGTGAATTAAGCGAAGTTTCTTCACTAACTCCTATTTATTTGCTTTCTTCTGATGAGGTGAGCATTCTACTTCAATTGCAGACATAAGAGATTTAAACTAAGTAGCTTGATGCATGATTTAAAAAAACAAAATATTTTTATAGTTCTGGGGTAGAAAGGTCTGCCAAGTTGTTAGGGCCAAGTAATTTTAATATGTACCAAAAATTACTAAAAGTTCGTCTAGAGAGATAGTCTCTCAGGGCCAATTTAGGGATGTGACTTCCACTGTTCATCACATGGGGTTCTTCACCATGTCTTATGAGACATCATGATTAAAAACAAAACCATCAAATTACTAACTTTGTGGTTTTTTTTTTTTTTTTTTACAAAAAATTGAAAACACAAATAATAAACCATTGTGACTTCAGTTACAGTCTCTTTTATCTGTCTCTCCATGAAGAGTTTTTAACAGAGATTATGCCGTAGAGGGTGGGCCAGTTTTTGGTGGGGGCATTCTTCTCTGGATAAGTCAATACTGAAGAGATATTTTCAAAACTAGTTTATGAGTCCTGTTTTAGAGTATCATACATAACTAAAACAGTTTATATATGGGCAAGGGAATTTCATTTAAGGGTAGGTGAGTCCTGCGTGGTTTATCATGGATAACCTAAACTGTTCAAAAATAGGCAAAGGTGAGTGATCTTAATTAAGTCTTACGAAACTTAAATATTTAAATTCAATTACTTTAGAGGCCATTCTAGCAGCTGTCTTGAGTCAGACAAATTAATGTATATTAAGAATCTTAATATTCAAATTAAATCTGTTTCTCTTTTTACTAAGATTAGTTTGTTTCCTCTCCAAGAATAATAGTGTAAACCACTTTGGTGCTTAATGGGAGAAGCTGTTACTGTCTTAAATTACAAATAGCATTTCCATATCTCATTAAAATCATTAGAAGAAAAAAATAAATCTGATTCCTTGGCAGTGCTTTGGTAAACTTTCTCTCATTCTTCGTGATATCATTACGTTGCAGAAGCACTGTTGTGTTGGAAGGCGATTGCTTCTTGATGCTGTATGGTTACTGCTTCTTTGTCACACTGCTGACGTTTGCTTGCTTGAAAGAGATGGCATGACTAAGACTGGAGTGACATTGAGGTTAAGAAACAGAAGCAGGGTATGCTGCTTGCTTAATTCAGAGAGATGTATAGTCTTCACATTTCACAGTTTCACTGGAGGTGCAAGGCACACCCCTTTTAGGGCTCATCTGGATTTAAATATTGGCTGCTGTCACCTTTTCATTGGTTTAAGACCCTCATGGGACAGTTCAGATAGTATCTTCAGCTCATGAATATGAAATTTGTTTGCTATGGAACAGGGTAGTAACTGTATATTGTTCTTGTGGAGGGAACTCAAATATCCTTTGTTTTAACTCTCTTGTGTTTAGTCCTTTAGTTTTATTAGGGTTTAATAGGAGTTTAAATTCTGTTTTAAATAAGTCAAACTTCCTTACTTACATATCTTTTAGCTTTAAAATAGCCTTTCTAAGCTTAGATTAACTTAAAAAGAGTCTTCAATTTAAATCAGGGGTCGGCAACCTTTCAGAAGTGGTGTGCCGAGTCTTCGTTTATTCACTCTAATGTAAGGTTTTGTGTGCCAGTAATACATTTTAATCATTTTAGAAGGTCTCTTTCTATAAGTCTTTAATATATATCTAAACTATTGTTGTATGTAAAGTAAATAAGGTTTTAAAAATGTTTAAGAAGCTTCATTTAAAATTAAATTAAAATGCAGAGCCCCCTGGACCGGTGGCCAGGACCCGGGCAGTGTGAGTGCCACTGAAAATCAGCTTGTGCACTGGTTGCCTTCCCCTGATTTAAATAGTCCTCAAAGAATGCATTGGCTCTTCTTGTAAATTCTTGGAGTAGTGGTTTTTGTGTGTGTTTGAATTTAACTAGAAAGTTGCTTGAATTCTGTCAGATCACTAATTCCCCAGTTAGCATAAACATTCTGTACTTAAATGACTTTTTATCGTATTAACCAGTGATGATAATAAATGACCATGTTATATTTATAAAAATATAACAAATATTTTACTAGTTATATGGCAGTTGCATCAGGCTTACTTTTAAATACAAGTCATTTGCAAACAAACATCTCAAAGATGCTTGTACATTTCTGAGCATTTAAGGAATAAACAAAGGACTGCTACAAAACATTTCCCAACTTTATATATTTTCCTTAAACCACATGAAGGCCTTAAAGTGTTTATAAAATTTTTAATAAAACTATTCCTCGTCTATTTTGTTAGAATTTAAAAATGAAATTTTTCTTTATGAAGAGAGAAAAGGGTGAGAAGGGGGTGAGGCAGAGTCGAGTCTCCTGAATCAGCTTTTTATGGCCTTGGCAAACCAGGTGCTATATATTGCTTACCTTGAGATCCTAGAAAAAATATCTTCACGTTCATTAACAAGGGAGAGACTCTTTGAGCAGACACTCCTGTTGGGTGTTTTGCCTTTTAATCACAGTTACTAAGATTTCAGTCAACAGTCGTTTTACCTGTAGTTCACAATTAAAAACTCTTACCAAACATTCTGTACAAATTAAAAAAAAATCACGACTAACACTTCAATGTTTTTCTAACCTTATATAAAATAAAGTGTATAGAATATTACAACCAAATAAACTTTAAAAACTGCTTTCCAGAGTCTGCGATTAGACCTGGTGGTGATAACATATGTATGGGCTAGGAGGAGGTATTCACTTTGAAGCATTTCATGTTTGTCATTTATTAGGAAAGCAGAAATTTCCTAATAATTTTCTTTAATTACCCTGAATACTTAATTGAATAAAACAAATAATTACAAACCAATATGTAAGCTGCTATTGTCCAAAAGCCATGTATACAAAAGTACTTAGAAATATTTTTTCAAATTTAATAAAAGTCCAGGTAAATGTATAGCAATCTAACATAATAAATTAAAATAGTTGTATTCACTGTAGTCAATATTGAGGTTTACCCCTTATATAGCAAGTAATAAAAATGTCTAAACGACTACTGCTCTTTTATGGTTCTTTAGCTGCTAAACACACTTTTGAGATTTACATTGGGGAAACTGTGGGACTTGAACCTTTTAAGAATTTGGCTTATTGCTGATGGAACATTTTAGCCCTTTGTTAATAAGACATGCATTGTACTTCACTTGTGTCCTTGCACAGTATCAAAATGCTCTACAGAGCAAAACTGTGCTAAGCTATAGTAAGAAAAGGTTTTTAAGAGATTAAAAGGCGTAATTAACTTTATTTCTACTAGAGATAGAGAATTCTGCATATACAGGGCAACACAAATGAAAGAGCAACCCCAAATTATGGAGATCTGATTGGGAAGTGAGGAGGTCAATACTGAAGGACCATAATGTATGGGAAAGGCAATATGAGGAGTATGTAGTCAGAAAAGTGAGAAGGAGATCTTTAATAATCCTGAAGGCATTTAATATTTGTGTGAATATTAAATTAATAATCACTAGGAAACCAGTGAAGGTGCTGCAGGTTGATATATTTTGTGCAGTGAGAGAATAATCTGCCTATTACCCATGCCCCCTAAAATTTTAGAGCATTGTTATGTATAGGCCTGATTATTACTTGATACATTCTTCACAATTTCATTGTAGACAGCTTTACAAAAACATTGAAATGTGACACCACAAAATCAAATGGCTTAAAGTAAAATGAACAAAGTTTAAACTAGTAAGAGTCCCTGGTTCACAAGCAAACAAAACTATAACTTACATTCTGTTCATTTGCCCAATATTAATTGTAATTTAATATCTAAAATCTCTCAAGAGGAGAACTGTATGGAGAGGATCAAGTTGATAGAATTTTCTCTAATATTGTTGCCCCAATCTCTATATCTTTCTCCCTTCACACCCAGCTTTCAAATTGTACCATGTAAGAATCCAACAGTGATGCTAATTAATTTTTGCCAATGCTTGCCATCTAGTGGCATATTTTACATTTGCAGTTTCGTTCAGTATGTTTCACAAGAATCTATTTGACAGTTACATGGTTTAAATTAAGTTTACAAAAAGCAAGTGGGAAATGAAGGGTCATTTGAGGGTTATTGGTTTTGCTGTGATGTTAGGTTTCAAAATGCTATAATCTTTGTATGTGCAACATCATTCTTAATGTTTTTAATATACATTTTTAAGCTGATAATTTAGCACATTTCCAGAATAGTATCTGAAAGGAATTTGCAAGTATTTAAGAAGCAATTAAACATCTAAGTATTAGAATAAATTAAGAATACATAATCACTTAGAGCTTTCTGACAGGTTATTCATTTCTCTAGATGTATTGTGGCTTTCACTTACATAGAACTTTTCATTTGAGGTATTCAAATCCTTTAAAATAATTTCTGATTAAGATTCAGCACTTTGGAGTACATATGTGTAATCTGAAGAATAGTTAAGAGACTAGTTTAAAGTCACACAGAGAGTCAATGGAATGAGAAACGTAGGAGTCCTGACTCCCAGGCATTTGCAGCATTACCAGCCTCAACCATTTAAGTCATGAGTCAGGCCCCAAAATAATCATGAGCTGTTGTTCATCGTAGATATTTAAAATCTGTGGCTACTCTTGGTTTCCTTTCTGCTGTTTTGAGGTTTTAGGGTTTACGATTTCAAACTTTATTCTGTACCCATGAGGATGAAAAACTTTTATGTTCTTTTAAAGTAAGCTGCGATTCTTCTGTGGGAAATGTCACTCTGGGTGCTCCATTTCAGGTGCATGTGCGCCACCTACGCCTTTGGGGATTTTTGGTAGCAGTGCCTGTTCGGCCTGTGCATGTGCTCTACACATACTCGTGGCCTGTAACGAAAATTACTCCCCAGGGTATTCTGTGCCCCCCCCCCCCAAAAAATAAATATTCCGAACACAATATTTTAAAATTCTGCAAATTTTATTTGTCAAATAATGGTGGGGGTACCAGCCTGGCATTGGGGAGCAGAGGCCACTGGCTGCACAGAGGTGGGAGGTCACTGTGCAGCTCCCCCCTGGGACACGGGCTCAGTGGTGAGGCTGCA